TTTACATTAACCAATAGGTGAGGATGTATCCTACATGCACTGTCCAAGCGAGTGAGATTTTTTTAAAAGGTTGTTGACCATTGACTGATCAATGGTTCAGTTTAGGCTAGTTTAAGTCAACTCAACTGAGCAAACTAGTTGATCTAGTCAAACTTGGTTTGACCAGTTGGTGCGCTGCGTTTCACTTATGAAATGCAGTGCTTGCCATTGCCCAAAATGATGTGTCGTCAAGGTTGTCCTTAACCTCGCGCCATGGACCCAACAACAAACTAGAAAAATTCCATCATTTTTCAACCATAACTTCTTCATCTGACCTCCATTTGATGCGATTTTAGTGTTGTTGGAACTGTCTCTTCACCCCTTACACAACCATGCTAATTTTGCAAGCTAAAAAACCTAGATTTCAAAGACCTAAAATGTTCAAAAAAATTCCTCCTCTATGTGTTCTCAACAACAGCTTCAACAAAGGTTAAGATGCATCCCAAAAGTGTTTTTGACTCACAAGAATATGAAGAGGGAGAAGGGAAAGTCTAAAAGTGACAAAAGAATCCATACGTAGACGCCTAAAAACAAAACCCAAAATAACTTAGAAGGGAAAAAATCTAAAAAAACAAAGAAGGCTAGAACAACACACAATAATTATATGAACACATTCATAATAAGTGCAACAGAAAATAAAGCATGCTGAGAAGCTAGCCAAGTCTTAATTCAAGGTAAGGAAACCTCTTGATCAACAAATGGCCAGAGGAGGAGAGTTCATGCATGAATGCCAACATTCAAGCAACATAAAAATGATAAATTAAATTAAATTTTGTTAGTATTACTCACAACCATAGCTGTAGGAACAATGTGGTTTGATGCCACTAAAGGAATATTAAATAGATAATAAACTAGACAAAGGAGCTGGATTAGAATCTTACTAGATTTGAGCATAGAAGAATCTACCCAACTACCCGAGTTTAGACTATTGGAGTCTAAACTAAAATGTATCGAAGAGAGAAAAGAGAGGAAGAGGAAGAATGAACACTGAAAGAGAACTATTCGCTCTTGGGTGAGTTCTTCCTTCAACCATCCATATCTATTTATAGTGAGGGGAGGCCACCGTAGAAAAAGAAAATCTAATCAGTTTTAATTCACTTCATTATGGAGCGAATAGAATGCTTGGAATAATCATCATTATTGTGGAGGAATATTTCTCATTGTAGAATCCAATCAGAAATTAATATGGCATTACTTCTTAATTTTGGTCAACTCATTATTACCGCAATAATTTGATCCATTGATTGCACATAATGATGTGATTCCTATCAAGGGAAGATCCATAATTCCAACAAGCATCAATCATCAATCATTTTTTTAATGTATATTTTGCCAATCTAGGAGCATATTCTTGTAATTCGAGCATGTGACTCATTACCTTAAAAAATATTGCTTATTGTTGCCATAAGAGTTATCTTTGATACTCATGGTCATATTTTGTCGTGGTTTAAGTATTGAAAGTATATTTTGAGATTTTAATCAAGTTATGAAAATTTTGTTTACTTTACATACAACTTGTATTAGGTGACTATAACCCAACTATGAGGGTAGCACAAAATTTAGAGGATAATTTTTATATTTCTAATCATCCCCTACTTCTTCCACGAGAGATGGCATATGATATGGGAATTCCCTTGGAAAGCTATGACCATTTATAATCTCTTTTGATTAAGTAATGCATTTTCTAGATTTTATTAAAAAAAGAGAGAATCATATCTAAGAATCATTAAGAAAATCATTCATAGACAAGAATCAATTAAAATGAATTGTTGTTAAAATGAAAATGTTGACTTATTTTTCTAGAATGAAAATTGTTATTAATCCTTATATGCGGTTAATTTGCTTTAGTAGTCCATAAATGTGATTCTCCAAAAAAAAAAAAAAATATACAATGCGAGGAAACGGGAGGGTTGGTGATAAAATCCCTAAAAAAAATTACAACTCTTGAAATTTATCTAACGTTTTAAAATTTGCAATTAAGTTTCAATGTTTGTATTTTCTTTTTAGATTAAGGATTATTTTTGTTCATAAACTGCACATGACATGTTACAAATGATCTTAAACTCAACTATGGGTCAGTTCTGTCTCTCAACTTTAAAGATTTCTTTTTTCATCATCCTCTGTTTTCTCACAGTTAGTTGACCATTAGTAGGCTTATATTATATTTTTAATTTTTTATTATAAAATATTCGAGTTGAGGAACAAAAAAGACCCTTAAACTTATTAAAAAATATTAAAAAATAGTAAGACCTACTGGTGACTAACAAAAATTAAATGTTTGAATAGTGATAAAGAAAATCTTTAAAATTGAGGAATAAGATTGACCAATAGTTAAGTTTAGAGTTATTTATAACTTTTGTGTAATATAGTTTAGAAATAAAACTAACCTTTAATCCTTTCTTTTGTTTTGCTTTGGTTTTTTTTTTTCTTTACCCGAGTTTCAATATTTCATATCTTTGACTAAAATTATAATATGCTTTTCAACTTACAAGTATCTTTTTAGTGAACATGCTTTCCATTGAGAATTTAATTACTAATATTGTATATTTATGTCTTGAACTTGGGATTATTAATTAAGTTCAATTAGCTCTTTTATCAATGGATCCAAACAATTTATGGTCAAGAATTTGTATTGATAATCGTTTTTTAATCATTTTTATTTTTTTTTATTTCTGCCACATATCTCAATCTTTTGGTTTTCGTACAAAATTCTTCCTCTCCTTTAATTCTATTTTTTATTGGTGCTTGGGCTTCCTCAAGTCGAGAATGGGAATGCAAACAGACCGATGACGTTATGTAGCGCTGCCGTGTGTGAAGCAACAAGTCTCAGAGTCCAACGCACAAGTCATCTTATGAGTCATGGGCTTCTCTTTTTTAACGTTTTGTTAATGTCAGCTCTTTAGTTGTCAAACTAATGATTTCTAATTTGTACCACATCTGCACCGTTAACTTATGCACGTAGCCATGTGCCTCCTATGTGTGGGATATTTTGAATACATTTTTGTATTCCTTTTCATTCTAGAATATCCTTTCTTTCGTTCGTCCCTCTGTTCACAACTTATTAGAGCCTTTTTTTTTTTAAAAAAAAGAAATAAATTATAAAAATTTTCTTAGGACAAAATGAATAAAAAATTTGCTCCAAAAAAATTATAATTGCTTATCTCATTTTAATTATTTTAAGAAAAAATAATTATTACTTAAATTAAAATAATTACGGATATTCACAACACTTATATTACAATGAATTAAAAATTTGCACAAAAAAATTATAATTACTTATTTTACTTTAATCATTATTGAAAAAAAAAATCATTGCTTAAATTAAAGCAGTAACTAGTATTTACTCTTTTTGGGAGCCAAAATTATTACAAAAAAACCAATTGACATTACGAGGAGGATTGGTCTATTAATTTTTCCTTTAATTTAAACAAAGTAGACCTACCGTTTATATTTTAAACCTGTTTATTTAAAAGAAAAATAAATATTTTTTAACTAATTTAAATATTTCATAAAAATATATTTATTTTATAGAAATTTTGTTAAAAGTTGAAATCATTTAGTTATTTTAATTTATTATATTTTTTTAATATTTTATCATATTTACAAATTAAATTATTTTGAGAAGCTACTCAAAATAATTTCTCAAAGAAATAAAAAATCTATTATTTCTCATATTCTGATTATTTTAAAAATTTAAATCAACATCATAAAATTTTATAAAAAATATTTTTTTTAAATTTTTTTAATAAAAAAATTTAGACAAATATGTGCTTAATAATAAGGATATGAGCTGACATTCTTATAACTAATCTAAGTAATCATGATCCAAATCATATATATTAAATATTTAAAATATTTCCAAAAAATAAAATTTAGTAAAAAAGAAATTTTAATTAATGGATTTTTTATTTTTATATTTACTTTATAAATATAAACTAGTATATGAAATTTAAATAGGTTAATTTTTAATTGTCATAAATTGAATTTTCATTAATTAATTATTTGTATTTTAAATGTTTAGATTGTTTTGGCCAAAATATTGTGATGGTTATTTAAAAATCAATTTCTTTATCATCAAGGAGTTGGACAACTAAAAAAAATAAAAAAAGGAGTTGCACAATTAAGGGATTAAATTAAATTAGTCAAAATTTTGTGTAGGGTAAGTGCATTTTCGTCTTTATTTAATTTTATCATAAGCTATTTATTTAATGTTTATTTACTAGCCATAAAGCTTTGTAATTGTAACTTGTCCTAAAAATTTGTTAATTTGTCATAAATTTAGAACATCAGTTTTTAATTAAAATATACCTACTATTATGATAAAACTAGATATCTGGCCAAAATAATAATAATAATAATAATAAAACTACATAGATAGATTTTTTTCCCATGACTATAATACTTTCAAACAGTTACAGTAGATAGTTAAATAGAGTAAGTTATTCAGTTATCTCAACTCTTTTGTTACAAGAAACGTTACCGATGGATTTTCACAACAATTATCGCTTCCCTACACACTTTCTTTCTCAACTTATACACATAGTACGCTAGTCTACACACAATTGGTACTATTAATCAACTAATCAAATTGATCAAAAGTATTAATTATCACTGAAAATCACACTCAATTATTTCTTTGCTTTCACTTAGCCAATTTACGTTCATTACCTCCCATTTACTCCTTTCTATCACTTCTATGAATCCCATTACATTTCTACTCAAATCTCCATCCCCTTTTTCCTCTTGTTTAAGGTTGAATCGAGCATATTGTCTTAAAACTTTATCATTTAACTCCAAACTAGTCGTACAACCCTAATTTAACTCTCGAGAATATTTCCATTATGAAAGGGTAAGAAACAAACCCCTTAAAACTTTCCAATTTAATTTTTATTTAACTTATTCTAAAAGAAATTATAGTAGAATCGAAGCTGAAGGTGATATGAAAATTACCCGATAGGCTATTAGTCTAAGATATCTCCCTTAGCTTCAAAATCTGATGCCTTATCATAGAGAACTCTCCTTCTCTCCTCTCTGCTTGATTTTCCTTTGTTTTTCCTCCAAAACCCTCGAGCTTCCATGTACTTATCAGCCTATTTTGTACATTTAATACATTAAAGTAAGGCACAAAGGTGGCTAGATATCATATTATATGCCATAAAGTAATTTGTAAGCAATTACACGCTTTGTGAGAAGCCTTTTGGTGCACATAAAGATGAGTAAAGTTAGACTGCATGCTTTACTAGGCAAGAAATTAATGAGAGATGAGAGATGAGAATTTATGCATGTTTTATGGTGCAAAGAAAAAAGTATTTGTGTGCATGAGTAAGGAGAAATAAATATTATTTTAATGTACATAAATCAAGGACACATTTTATAAGGTAGCCAAATGCTTCGATAGGGGCTTATACGAGTACAGTTTTTTGGCACACAAAACCAAGCAAGCTACAGCAAGAGTTATATGTTTGAGAAAAGTTATACGAATTAAAATTTATGAATATACATGTAAAAACATGCATTTCTTTTTCAATAGTTGAGTAATTTACCTGTGCACTAGCTAATGTTTTGCTTGCATAGTAAATAGGATGAAAAATCTTTTCTTGCCTTTGTCCAAGCACCGCTCTAACAGCAAAGTCACTTGCATCACATATGACCTTAAAAGGTAGTCACTAATCAGGAGCAGTAATGATAGGGGCAAATGTTAATCTATTCTTCAGCTCTTTAAAGGCCTTTGTATGCTCTTCATTAAAATTGAAAGGAGTGTCTTTTTTAAGTAGTTGAGATAAAGGCTTTAAAAATTTTAGAGAAGTCCTTAATGAATTGACGATAAAAGGTAGCATGTTCTAAGAAACTTCTCACAACTTTCACATTAGTGGGCGGTGGCAATTGCTTAATAATTGAAGTCTTAGTTCGATCAATCTTAAGACCCTTTTTGGAGACTTTATAACCCAGAAAAATACCTTCAGTTACCATAAAATGACATTTTTTCCAATTAAGCACAAGTTAGTCTCCTCGCATCTTTTCAAGACTCTTGTCAAGTTGGACAAGCACTTTTCAAATGATTCTCTAAAAATAAAAAAATCATCCATAAACACCTCCATAATCTCTTCAATCATATGAGAGAATATGCTCATCATGCACCTTTGGAAAGTGGTGGGTGCATTGCAAAGACTGAACGGCATCCTTCTAAAGGCAAATGTACCATAAGGATAAGTAAAAGTTGTTTTCTCTTGGTCATCAGGAGCTATAGCAATTTGATTATAGCCTGAATAACCATCCAATAAAATAAAGAACTCCTTACCAGTTAGTCTATCCAACATTTGATCAATGAATGGAAGAGGAAAATGATCTTTCCTTGTGGCATCATTTAACTTCCTATAATCCATGCAAATACGCTACCCAGTAACTGTTCAAGTTGGAATTAACTCATTTTGCTTATTAGTAATTACTGTCATTCCTCCTTTGTTGGGAACATATTGCACTGGGCTAACCCATGCACTATTAGAAATGGGATAAATTATCCCAACATCTAACCACATAATAATTTCTTTTTTTTTACCACTTCTTTCATCATAGGATTCAACTTTCTCTAATTTTAAACAAATTTTTATGGTCATCTTCTAACAAAATTTTATGCATGATAATAGAAGGACTAATACCTTTAATGACTGCAATTGTCCGTCCTAAAGCTTGTTTGTGATCCAGAAGAACTTTGAGTAACCTCTCCTTTTGATCATCAAACAAAGCATAAGAAATGATAACAGGCAATGTCTTAAATTCACCTAAATAAGTAAAAGTAAGGTATGGTGGTAAAGGTTTAAGCTCTAAAGTTGGTGCTTGTTCAATTGAAGGCTTCAAAGAAGGAGCTTGCCTAGATTCCAACTCTAGAGATTTAAATACTCTTCTTGAATTAAGAAACTAAGGAGTTGCTTGAAGTAATTTCTTGCATTCAACAATATCATCATTTTCAACCACATTATCTCCCAATAATAAAGTATGTAATGAGTCTTTCACAACAAAGGACTCTAAAGTCTCTTGAACTATCTCATCTAGAATCTCCACTCTAGAACAAATTTTATATTCCTTAGGATACTTCGTTGCTTTATGCATGTTAAAGCTAACTTCATCATTTACTCTAAGTTTGATCTCTCCTCTCTCAACATCAATGAGAGCTCGTGCTGTAGCTAAAAATGGTCTGCCCACAATAAGTGGGAGATTTCTATCTTCATCATAATCCAAGACAATGAAATACAATAGGAAAGATAAATTTATCAACCTTGACCAACATGTCCTCAATTTTTCCTTTAGGAAATGCCAAACTTCTATCAGCTAATTGAAGAGTTACTGAAGTAGGACTAGCTTCACTAAGTTATAATTTTTTAAACACAAAAAGTGGCATCAAGTTGATACTTAAGCCTAAATCACATAATGCCCTACCTTGAAATTTATCTCCAATCACACAAGGAATTGAGAAACTACCTAGATCATGGCATTTTGGAGGTAATTTTTTCAAGAGAATGGCATTGTACTCTTCAGTAAGTGTAACTAGTTCACATTCACTCAACCTCCTTTTCTTACTCAACATCTCCTTTAAGAATTTAGCATATTCAAGCATTTGTTCCAAAGCATCAATGAGAGGTATGTAGATGTGCAATTGCTTGAAGATTCCTAAGAATTTCTTGTATTGATCCTTTAATGCCTTCTTTTGAAATCTTTGAGGGAATGGTAATGGTAGCATCCAAGAAAGATGATCACTAGTCGGTCCCTTCATCTTGGATGTTATCATTGCCTCCTTTAGAGACTCCTTCTCAATATCATCTTCAACAATCACAACTTTAGCTTTAGTAGGTGTAGAAGACACCTCTTGCTCAATTTGATCAACTTCTAGCTTAGGTGTAGACTCAGATGTAGGAGGGGAAATTTTAGATAATTGCTTTCTACTCCTTAAGTTAATTTCTTTGCACTCCTCATTCCCTTCTCTACAAAGATTAGTCTCTGTATTACTTGGCAATCCCTCTTTATGAAGTATAGTCACTACAGTTGCAATTTGGCCCATTTGAACCTTAAGATTCTTTAGAGATGAATTAATTCTTACATTAATGGCAGCTTGTTCCTGACTGTTCTTGATACGAGATTCTACCAATTTTGCTATCACTTCTTCCAAGTTAACTCTTGACTCTTGAATAGGAATAGATGGCTTTTCAACTTGAGAAAAATCTGGAGGAGCGATTGGTTTTGCACTAGAAGATGAAGCTTAATTGAGGGTTGCATTATTTCTCCAAGAAAATTTAGGATTCTAATACCACCCAGGATTGTAAGTGTTTGAAAATGAGTTGACTTGATTATTACCATGATAATTCCCAACATGATTTATCGTCTCAATTTGTTAAGAAAGATGGAAATGTTTAGTAGCATGTGTATCTTCACAATAATCACATTGAGCATATATGGCATAAGTTCCTATAGGCCCACCATTGTTTTGAGCAACATGTGCTTCAAATCTCTTACTGAGAGTCTAAAGAAAACTACCACTTGGGAAGATGAAGAGTCATCAATAACTCTTTCTTGTAGTCTCCTAGTCTTCTCTCATTGTTATTCTGGATGTAATTAATAGCAAAATCATCTAAATAGTTCCAAACATAGTTTATTGTTGCTTTATAATCCCGCCATTAGTGATTGAATTCATTTCAAGCTTGGATTTAGGTGTCAACCGACTACTAAAACTTAAATCAAAACCTATTTCTCTTCATTATGCCTAGGACTCTACTTCACTAATTGCTTAAACCTTTCCCAAGCTTCATATAAATGTTCACCAAATTGTTGATTAAAATTGAGAATGTTGGCTCTAGAATTGACCATCTTGTTATGTGGGAAAAATATAGATCTGAACTTGCTTTTCATTTCCTCCCATGATGAGACACTACTTTAATCTAAATTGTCAAGCCAATCCTTAACTTTCCCTTGTAGAGAGTAAGGAAAGAGGCGAAGATGGATGATGTCTTGAGGAACCCCATTTTGCTTGAATGAGTCACATATGTCAAAGAAGTTCACCAAATGTCTATTATGATCCTTATCTTGATTTCCCATAAAATGTTCATTCATTCCAATCATCTTAAGCATGGTTTGCTTAATCTTAAAGTTGTTCACTTAGAGGTCAGGTACTTTAATCCTAGACTGGTATCCTCTAGCTTGTTTACCTAAGAAATCAATAACACATAGCCTACCATTCTCATCCTCAACCATCTCTTTATTTGTAACTTTTTCATCGGTCAGAGGCTGAGTTTGAGGTGAAAGAGCTCCCAAGATTTCTTTGAGAATCTTTATTCACAAAGGTGTCTTTTCTGACTTAGCCTTACATGGCATGCAAAATAGTCTTGCAAAAACAAGACAAGATTAAGGATCTAATTGAACAAACAAGATAAAAAAATGACAAAATAAATGCTCAAGTTAAAACTACTCAAGGTCCTCCCTTTCTAGTCACCAATTGCCTAGAGTTCCCCAACAACGATGCCAAAAACTTGATGCACACAATTATGTAATGAATTTCACAAGTGTATGGGTCATAAAAATAGTACGTGATAAATCAAAGTTGATCCCACAAAGAATCAAGTTAATTGATAATTAGGCAATAAATTCCCCAATTTCATTTAAGCAAAGCAAAATAAAATTTGGATTTGATATTGCAAAATGAGAAATTGAAATTATATAAATGCACTTAGATTAAAATCCCAACAACCACAAACAATTAAGGCAACCTAGGGTAGCTAATCTCTTCTTCAATTCATAGAGCATGTAATTATCCAAATAAATTCCTTGTTAATCTAAAGTATTAATAGGAATAATTATCTTTCAATTAATTACACCCTTCTCTTGAATTAATATGCTATTTCTAACACAATTACCTAAGAGGTAAAAAAATGCATAAATCCACTTTAATGTGATTATATGGGTCCAATAGGTATATATATCCTATTGGAAAAATTAGAATAAATTCTAATTCCACATTACTCAATCTAATAGTCTAATTTATATTTTCCTCTTCTAAGGCAAAATCTAAACCCCCAAATTCACGCTCAATGATGGCCAAGCATTAAGTAGAAAAATGAGTCCAAGATTAAGTAAACAAAACTAATATTAAACTTAAATAAATGGTTCAAACATGCTCTAATCTAAGAATCAATTCATAGCTACCTAGATTAAGAGAACATCATTCACACATGGCTTCCATGATAGCAAAATCAATAATATATACAACAAAGTAAAGAGAAGAAGGAGAAGAAAAGTTTAATTGGATCAATCTTGAGCGAAACCCTTAATTTCTCACTAAACCCAAGCTTTTCCAACCCTCTTTTGACTCTTTTCCCTCTCCCTAAATGTTCTACAATTGTTGGAGGTAAAGAATGCATGAAAATGAGGTGCCCAAGTTCTAAAAATTTATTAAGAGTCAAAACTGTACATTTTACTAAAATTGCCCTTCGCTACAGCAAACATGACCTATTTAAATTTTTTTTTTCAGATTTAATTCTTTTGACTTGGGCTCCAAAATTTTCTTCTTTGAGCCCCTAAATTGGGCCTCCCTACAAGCATAAAACCCAGAATTAATGCTAAAATTGGTCTACTAACTTCTAACACATTTCCAAGCCCATTTTCATACACATTCATCAACTTAATCATATTTTTGCTAAAAAATTCAAATAAATGACTTCCAATTCATTAAAAACACCAATAAATTCAATAAAATATTGGAAGTCATCAATGGTCTGATCTAAATTTAGACACTTGGGTACCAAAAGTTACTTTTCTTGAAAATTTCATGCCTTAAAGTGTTCAAATTTTAAACTTTGTCTCATTAAGCAATTTTAAGCCCAGAAGCAAGTCCAATTGGATCACTTACACCTAATTGACAAACAATACAATAATATATACACATGCATCAAGATTTGGCCATCTAACCACCCATATTACCATAATATAAGGCCTGTTTTCACATAGTTACAACTATATGCACTATTGGCTAATTTCTCACACATTCACCACATAATCATTTCATACACATTCACATCATAGTTTCAATAAAATCTTAGCCCACATAACATAATTCTCTACATGTACCACATTTTCACACACATTAGGCTAAGATTCTCAAAATCACTACTTATCACAATTACAAATATGCATATGATTCCTATGATAACTCATTCATTTACAAATATACAACAAAACAAATTCATTATACAAGCTCTTCACCACATGGCGATAGCTCTACTACCCGATCTAGAATCTTTTCCTTTACCCGACTCACAATTAAAACATGTAAAAATGTAACCACCGAGTGAGATAATAATCTAAGTAATAGAATAACTCGTTACTACTAACTATCATAGGTAACTGTAAACAAGTATCAGATATATATAGCCAAATAAAACATACAATATAGTTTCACTTCATAAAATCCTTTTCACTTTATACAACTCTTTTCACAACAGTCTATCACCACTAACATAATCAACTACCATCCAAACCTTCGAGTCACCCTAACTGAAACCATAGTCTCTTATTAGGCCAATACACACTCATTAACCTAAGCGCATCTTCAGTGGTAGAATCACCTGACTAAAGGTATTTTATCCCACTTTCAAACTACGATTTCCCCCTATCACACACATGATTGGGGTGTTGTTACTTTAACACTGCATCTTATAGATACTAAGAACCTCTATTCTCCAATAATACACCCTACATGGGTACTAAAGAGATAATCTCTAACACCACACCTCAACAAGTATGAAGGAGATGAAATTCTCCAACATTGCACCACATCGAGCACTAAGGAGAATAATGCCATATGAATTTCTCACTACTTCTCTCTATAGGTGAACTCTCACCCCCTATCATCATGCTCACATACAATTAGTCATATATTTTCATAAAAACCGTTTCTTTGAAATTCATTTCCTTAAAATCCTTTTTCATGCACAAACATTTATTCTTTACAAAACATGCGTAATATAAAGCAATTTCATGCAATAGCTATAATATAATAGAGAAAGTTATTCAATTACCTTAACCCTTCTATCATAAGAAAGGGTTAACTGTGGATTTTTTCCAACAATTAATATTTGCCACATGCTTCATGTCTCAAGTTACACGCATAACATGACAATCCACACACAATTAGCACTATTAGTCAATTAATCAACTTGACCACAAGTAATAATTATCACTTAAAATCACATTTAGCTATTGTTTTCCTTTCATTTGATCAACTCAAGATCTTTGCAATCCAATCACCCTTATCTATCACTTCAACCAATCCTATCAAACCTCTTTTACATCTTTACTCCCAATTCCTTTTTGTTAAGAATTAATTCAGGCTTACAACTTCAAAGATTTATCATTCAACTCTAAATTAGTCATAAAATTTTAATTTAATTTCCAAGAACCTTTTCATTACTAAAAGGTAAGAAACAAACCCCTTAAAATTTCTTGATTTAATTTCTCTATAACTTATATTAAGAGAAATTAGTGTAGAATTGAAGCTAAGGATGGTATGAAACTTTCTCAACAAGTTATTGATCAGAAATATCTCTCAAGCTTCTAATTCTTCTTGCCTTAGCTAAGCTTTGGCTTCTTCACCTCTCTTCCTCACGTTTCACTTCTTTTCTCTCTTGACCCATAAGCTAATCCACGCATTTATGCGTCTGGTGCATATTGCTTGTGCCATAGCGTATGGCATAATAAGAAAAAATCCTCACCACACGCATCCGCTTCACTTTGAAACATGATTCTTTCACTAGTATCTATTCAACCAACATTTCAAAGAGTCAAAACATAAAATTATCATCCAAAATCCTAATTGCTTGCTAATTTACTAATTCTTCCTAATTAGCAACTAGTTTCATAATTAAGAAATTAGAATGTTACATGATTTGCGTACCAAAACACTACACTAGTACAAATCCCTTCTGGGACAATTAACTACCTTGAATTTTATGTCTTTTCTTTTTATGCATAATAATAATAATAATAATAATAATAATAATAATAATAATAATAATAATAATAATTTCACTTTATTTATAAACATGTTTAATTTTATTCATTGCACTATAAATCGTGCAATAACTATCTTTTATCCTCTCTTGATATCTTGCCTCATAAAGCATGTGTTGGCTACAGCTTCTACAAAGGCAATCATTGACATAAATAGACACATCTGAGTTCTAAGCTAACGCATGAAATATGGGATGTTGCACTAGGAAGGGAGGAGGTGGCTGGTGGTGAAACTAGAGTGGGGAGAAGAAGAGTTGGAGCACAAAGCCAAAAATGAGTGAGGCACAATGGGTTTAGAAAATGAATTGAAAAGAAGGTTGGGGGATCTTAAATTTCATATCCATGTCTTTCTAGAAGGAATGGACATAGATTGAAATGAGGCTCAATCCACATTGCTTTTGTGAAGAAAGTGGCATGGATTGTAAATAATTTTTTAAGAAAAAGAAAGTATCTTTATACATCTATGTCACTCTCTTAAAAGCGATATGAATTAATTTATCCATATCACTAATGTTAAAACGTGACATGAATTCTTATACCTATTTACCATTTATCTACGATAGTGCCATCGGTGCTAGTTTTTACCTTATTTTGTAAAAAATGATGTGAACTAGTATAGTTAAAACTATATTTTGTAGTAGTAAATCCATATTGCTTGTAAAAAAGTGACATGGATACAACTAACCATATTGTTTTTTAAAAAAGCAATATAGATATGTTTCCAGATTCACTAATTAATTATGAAATTACCTCCGCTTTGACATTTTACCTCCTATTTTTAGAAAGTGACATGAATTAGGGGGTATATATATATTTTGTAGTAGTGCTAGGGCCTTTATTCTTGCTCTGATTGTACTGTTGACTGTACTTCCAGTAATGGCCTATGATTCTCTTGTAAGTTGTTGGGTGGATCATCGACATTGTGATTGTACTCGGCACATTGTCAAAACAGATAGGGTTCTTCCCAAAAATATAACTTAGCATCATGGAGAAACTTCTTCTTTTGATGAAACTTTAAATCAAAGGGCAAGATGCCACAAACAAGATAGTTGACAATGTCTGCATACCACGATGTTTGAATATTGTCAACCTTAAAGACTTGCTCATCAAAAAAGCTTCATCAATAACAACGTTACATTTAAGTTGAGCATCAGTATTTAACCTAGAAAGATGGTCCGCCACTTAATTCTCAGTACCCTTCTTATCAATAATCTCTAAGTCAAATTTTTGTAGAAGTAGTACCCATCGAATTAACCTTACTTTAGGCTCCTTCTTGCTGAATAGGTACTTCAAAGCTGAATGGTCGGTGTAAACTGTCACCTTAGTACCCACAAGATATGATCTAAACTTGGTAAAAGCAAACACCACTGCAAGAAGCTTTTTCTCGGTCATGGTGTAGTTTTCTTGAGCATCATCAAGTGTTCTGCTAGCATAGTAAATTGGGTGAAGCAACTTTTCTTTCTTTTGGCCGAGCATAGCATCCACAGCAAAGTCACTAGCATTACACATCACAATGAAAGGCAAACTCCAATCAGGAGCCATCATGATAGGCACAGACACAAGTCTTTTCTTCAACTCTTCAAACGCTTTCATGCATGAATCATCAAATCTAAATTCAACATCTTTCTCAAGAAGAGTGCAAAGAGGCTTGACTATTTTAGAGAAGTCTTTGATGAAGCAGCGATAAAATCCCGCATGGCTAAGAAAACTCCTCACACCCTTAACATTAGTAGGTGGAGGAAGTTGCTCAATCACCAAAATTTGGCTCTATCTACCTCCAAGCCATTTTTAGAGACTCTATGGCCAAGAACTATACCCTCCTTAACCATGAAGTGACATTTTTCCTAATTTAAGACCAAGTTAGTCTCTTCACATCTTTTCAACACATTGGCCAAGTTAATCAAGCACTCCTCATATGAATCCCCAAAAACCATGAAGTCATCCATGAAGACTTCCATAGTTTGCTCAATCATATCAGAGAAAATTACCATCATACACCTCTGAAAAGTAGCCGATGCATAGCATAACCCAAAAGGCATGAGCTTGAAAGCAAAAGTTCTATAAGGACAAGTAAATGTCATTTTTTCTTGATCCTCTGGAGCTATGGCAATTTGGTTATAGCTCGAATACCCATCAAGGAAGCAAAAGAATTCCTTTTCAGCTAATTTGTCAAGCATTTGGTCAATAAAAGGAAGAGAAAAGTGATCTTTTCTAGTAGTCGCATTTAGCTTCCAGTAATCCATACATACTCTCCACCCAATAATAGTACGGGTAGGAATTAGCTCATTGTGGGTGTTAGCCACTACAGTCATGCCTCCCTTTTTTGGAACGCATTGAACTAGGCTCACCCAAGAGCTGTCAGAGATAGGATAGATAATGCCCGCCTCAAGCCATTTTAAGATCTCCTTTTTCACAACTTCCTTCATAATAGGATTCAACCTTCTTTGATGTTCCACGAAAGTTTTATGATTGTCTTCAAGAAAAATCTTATGCATGCAAATTGAAGGGCTAATACCCTTTATGTCGGCAATAGTCCACCCAATAGCTTTCTTGTGAGCTTTCAAGACTTCCACAAGTTGCTCTTCTTGTTGTGCATTCAAGTCTGCAGCAATAATCACTGGCAAGGTGTTGTTGGCTTCCAAATAGACATACTGAAGATGAGAAGGTAATGTCTTCAAATCAAGAGATGGTGGCTCTTTAATAGAGGATTTCAAAGATGGTCTACCCAGAGAAGATAAATCTAGATATTCAAATTACACACGGTTTCTAGAATAAACCGGTGATGCATTCATGATAGCCATACACTCTTCTCCATCTTGAGTCTTTAATTGAGCTCCTATTAATAAGGCTTCCAAAAAATCATTAGGAACTGTCTCATTGAATTCTTCTTGTGCAACTTGATCAAGCATATCAATAAAAAAGCATTGCTCAAGATAATTAGGAGATTTCATCAACTTGTGCATGTTAAAAGTGACTTGCTCATCATCTACCCTCATAGTAAGCTCACCTTTTTCAACATCAATTAAGGTTCTAGCGGTTGCCAAGAATGGTCTTCCTAAGATAATAGGAATATCACGATCCACCTCACAATCAAGGACAATGAAATCAACCGAAAAAATGAATTTATCCACTTTTACAAGAACATCTTCAATAACACCACATAGATAAGCCAAGCTTCTATCCGCTAATTACAAAGTCACGGTTGTTGGTCTAGCTTCACCCAACTCTAATTTATTGAAAATAGAAAGAGGCATGAGATTGATACTATCACTAAGATCACATAATGCCTGACCCAAAAATTTATTTCCAATGTGACATGGAATTGAGAAGCTACCGGGATCCTTCATCTTTTGAGGTAGTTGCTTAACGATATCCGTACAACTCTTGGTTAAAGCAACCATCTCAAACTCATTGAACCTTCTCTTTTTAGAGAGCACATCTATCATGAACTTAGCATATTTGGGCATTTGCTCCAAAGCTTCCATAAAAGGAATGTTGATATGCAATTGCTTGAACATATCAAGAAACTTTTTAAATTGGCCATCTTCTTGTTGCTTTTTAAGCCTTTGAGGAAAAGGTGGTGGAGGCACATATTTTAGCTTGGCTTCTTGTTGCTTTTTCTCATCACCAACCTTTTTGGCTTTATCTTTATTCTTTTTCTCTTCTTGATTCTTCTTTAAGTTGTCACACTCTTCAACCACAATTTCTTCATTGATCACTTCATCATCAATAACCATCTTAGTAGCACCACTACTCACACCACTTGCACTTGGCATAAGAACTTTGGGTAATTGCATCCCACTTCTCAAAGTGATTGCTTTACATTCCTCCTTACCATCCCTTTTAGGATTTGGAATGGTGTCGTTAGGGATATTGCTTCTTGACATGGCATTCATTTGTGAAGCCAATTGCCCTATTTGCACTTCAAGATTCTTAATTGCGGTATCATGAAGGGTAAGAGTTGCCTTAGCTTCAACTCTTGCAGATTCTTGATTACTCAAGATTTGTGCTAACATCTTTTCCATTTTAGACTCCTTTTCCTTAACCGGCATTGGCTTTGATGGAGCTTGAAAACTCGAAGGGTGAATTGGCTTGACATTAGAAGATAAAGGTTGATTTGAAGAATTCCCTTGACTCTATGAAAAATTAGGATGATTCCTCCATCCTAAGTTGTAGGTTTGAGAGTAAGGGTTATTATGAGGATTTTAAAACTTGCCCATATAGTTGTCAGACTCGGTGGTTATATAAAGAGGACATTGATCGGGCATATGAATATTATTGCATTGATTGCACATAGTTGGAATGGCTTGGACAACATGCACATTATGAGAATTTCCCCTTTGCATTTGAGATTCCAACACATCAAAACGCTTGTTTATTGCATTCAAGATGGATACAATCTGGGAAGAAGAATTATCTTTAACACTAGTCACCATTGATGTATTCCTTCTATCCATGTTTTGAGTGTTGTTCGCAAACAATTGATCTAAGAGGCAAAAAACTTCATCGACAGGCACATTCTAATATCCCCCATTTGTGATAGAATCAACCATGGCCTTAGAAGATGGATTCAGACGATTACAAAAGATCTGAATCACTACCCATTTATCCACCCCATGATTAGGGCATTTCTTCATCAACATCTTGTATCTCTCCCAAGCTGCATAGAGATGTTCCTCTAGATATTGCTTAAAGCTAAGAAATTCATCTCTTACTTCCACTGTTTTATCATCAGAGAAGAATCGAGCTCTAAACTTGTTCTCAAGATCCTCCCATGAACCAATAGAACCTTCAGGAAGACTATTGAACCATTCTTTAGCCTTGTCTTATAGACAAATTGGAAATAACCGCAAGCGCAAGACATCTTTAGGCACCCCATTTTGTCTGAAAGAATCACATAATTCCATAAAAGACATCAAGTTCTTGTTAGCATCTTCATTGAATAGACCATGAAATACACCATTCATTTGAAGCATTGTGATTATGGCGGGCTTGATCTCAAAAGTATGTGCTTGAAACTCCAGCATTTGAATACAAGATTGAGTACCCCTCAAATTTCAGTTAGCAAAGTCATTGACTGAGGCAGTGTCATATTGATCTTCTTCCATGTTTCCTGATTGAGTTTCAGGAGTTCTTTCAGAATTAGGAGACTCGGCTTCTTCAAAGATTGTCAATCCTTTAAGTATCACTTCCAATCCTTCTGGGCCTATAGCTTGCATATGCCAAATGGGTACTTGAAGAAGAAAACAACCAAGAAGTATCAAAGTAAAACAAAAACACTAAATAAAAATAAATAAAAATCTAGAACTAATATCTACAAAGCTCAAGCGAAATGATTCACAAACTTCCAACACAATTTAGGACCTAGAATTATTTATCCCCCTTGCATTTCATAACACCAAAATTACCTCCTCTCATAAATGCTTTTAATGAAAGTAAGTGCTAACCTAGGGTTCTAAAAATACTTGGACAAGCTCTCTTAAGTTATAAATAAGTGTTTAGTTAAATTAATTTCCCAATCTCTTATTACAAATAATAAAACTCAATTTTGAATACCAACCCTAATGTGGCTATGTAAGGCTAACAAGTATATCTCTATTTTACTAGCAAAACCATCCATTCAACATGCAAATATCAAATTCTTACACAATTTTACCCAAGTTCTACACTCAACTTAGCCCTCTCAAACATTAATTAAGTGAACCCAACATCTAAATGGTGGCCAATCAAGTAGAAGCATTAAGGAAAGAGTAAAATAAACACATATATATCATTAATCACAAAAAGAGAGAAGAAATATAGTGTTAATCCATACAAGGGTTCCAAATAATCCTAGAACAAAAGGTTTAGCTACTCATAATCATCCACAAGCTACAAATATACAAAATAAGTAGACCCATGTCAAATTACAAGAGAGGAAAGGGAAGAGGAATAGAAAAACCGAAGAAATGAGCTCCAAATGTCTTCAAAGCTTCAATCTTTTGATCCCAACTCTTCCAATACCCAAACCCTAGCACAACCAAGCTCAAAAAGTGTCTAAAAGTCTGAAGAATGCGTTCTGAGTCGAGCTCTCAGCTTATATATATCCTAGCCAACTAATTTCTGATAAATGAAACGCAGTGTTTTTTCTGACAACGGCGAAAGTCACGAACAAAAGTCACGACTTTGGGACGACTTTGGCAGTTTTGCATTGTTTTTACAGCTAATGAAAATCATTCATTTTGCTCTTGATTTCTTCATCCAAAAGCCTTCCAAAAACATCCACAAAGCTCCAGAAATGCTTCTAATCAAAACTTAAATCAAAATAACATGAAATTAGGCTCAATATCAAATTAAAGCCAAAAACACAAGCCCAAAACATAATGCACATTTTCCTAATTTGAACAATAAAAATATATACAATTGAACCAAAATAGATTAGAATCTAAAGAAAATGTGATGAAATAATATGAACTTCTAGAGGTTAACACCAGCTTATTGCACAAAGTAAGCACTTGTGGCTCTATGTCACATGCTGTGATGCACAATGCACAGGCCATGGCATACAACCTTCTTTGGCCAAAATTGTAGTTTTGCCGTTGTATATTCAATGATGGTGCTTTTGCACTGTTAATGCTTTCATTGTTTTTAAATACATATATTTAGAGGGTTTAAACTAATTTCTAAAAAATTTTGGGATCCCAACTATTTTAAAGTACATTATTTATTTTCAATATTTTTGATGAATGTAATTATTGGTAACTTAAATGTTTGAGGGATCTTTAATTACCTTTGTGTACTACGTGTGTTACAGTTTGGTAATGTTGAAAATGATATTACACTTACCCCAAGTCCAAAGAACTTAAATTAAGCTGTTAGAATCACATACAACACTTAAAGCATGTATTCCCTATCTTTTCCCACTTATACCTAAACTTCTCACTCCCAAATCACTTGAAAACAAGATGAAAGAAAGAAAGAAGGGGTAGAAAAGCATACCTATGAGTTTGAAAGTCCATGTTCTCTTTCAAAATTAATTCATGAGTTATTAAAGCTTATTTGTGGCCATGCATCACAGCGTAGCATGCATAGGTTACAACCTATGACATAGTGAGAGAAAATCTCACTTATCGCATGCCATCCCTTTGAGCCTGACCAATAGTTCAAACCATCCATTAGCAATCCAAAACATGCTTAATTAAATTAATCCACTTATTTACTAATTCTACTCTTAATTAGTAACTAAGCGTCGGCTTAAATCTTAGGATGTTATAGGTAGCATCTCATTATCATGAAAACTTAATTGAATCCCAAGACACTTAGCTCAAAATAAAGCTTGCACTTACCTCTTCTTCATGCACTAACTTGTTCTTGCTTTCTCCATTTCTCCCCCCATCTTTAACACATCAAACTAATCCTCTTGAAAATCTAAAACCATAGGAATGTTCCTCTTGAAGAGTAGAACAACTTTTGTGAAGGAATTTTAAGGTAGAAATGGGGTTTGGATAGATATTTTGGTTGATTTATCCTTTCTCTCTCTAAAATTCTATTTTTTCATGTCGAAGCTCTCTCCCTCACGCATTCTCTCTCTATCTTTGCATTTACTAACTGAAAATTGAAAAATTAAAGAAGGGAGGGCGTGGTTAAGTAAATCATTTAACTTTGCTCAATATATTTTGGCATCCAAAAATCTCCAACATTAGTTTTCTTTCTTAAATCTTAGAGCAAGTAAATAAATAAAAATACCCTTCCATTTTTGCCCATATAGTCACGCCCTTCTTCCTCTAAAATGAGCTCAAAATGGATTCTTTATAATTTTTAATCTTGGGTAGGAATTTTGAACATTTTCTTGACCTAAATTAATTTAGTTTCTGTAATTAATTTCTTAGGAAAATTTTTAACCAATAAAATTGGTATTACTCTTCCAAATATTTCTTCCTTCATATACTAATTTCCTTTACTTCTCCGTGAATTTTGGGTAACTTTCTGTAACTACTCTTTAAGACCTTGACTCGCTTTACCTTGACATTTCCAGGTTAATGTTCACTCTTATTCATTTTTAACTCTAGCCATTTTCTCATAATCTTATAGTATTCATATATAATTAATTACTCCTTGCCTTTTAATAATTACTATTCGGGAAAATATAACTTTGAGTCCCTGCATTTTGCTCACATTTTGCTATAGATCCTTACACTTCTTTTTGGTGTTCTAGGTCTTTAAACTTTTATTTTTTTTAGTGTTTCAGATCCTTACACTTTGTTCATAGAGGGATCTAGAACATTAAAAAAATAAAAGTGTAGGGATCTAAAACACCGATAATTTGCAAGGACCAATAGCAAAATGCAAGCAAACTGCAAGGACCCAAAGTTATGCTTTTCCTTACTATTTAGTATTAGAAAGGCTTTTTACTTTTAGTCATTTTTCTTCTCTTTCCTTTTTAACTTGGATAGTAGTTGAGATATCTAAGAAAAAGTCAAGGATACTCTCTCTGTAATAATTAGATGAACTTAAGAGCTCTCTATATTGCAAACTCATCCTTGGTCATCATATTCCTAGAGAATTGTTACATACTCCATGGCTCGGTAACTTTCTTCTAGGTTTACTACGACCATGAGATCGAACTGTGATCTCATTGAGCTCTTTTTGGATCTACTATGATCCATAGGATCTAACTACCATCTTTCTCTAGGAGACTTTGGACATAAGGATAAAGTTATTAAATAACTATCTCTATTTAGTCTAACAATTGTCTATTCCCTCCTAGGCTTTATTTAGTCCTTTTGGCCTATCCTAGATTCTTTTAAAATATAACTTACTCATACTTCAATTAAAGACATTTTTTTAATGTCTCTTAAAAATATTACGCTTTTGTACAAAAAAAACTTATAATTATGATTTGGTCCTTAAGAATGATCCTATCTTTTCAATGAACCTTAGGGACTCTTGACTACTTGGACTTAATATTGAATTTAATATAATCTTGAACTTCTAAGCCCAAAATTTAGGATATTACAATATCGATGTGGAGTGTGTTTTATTTGATGAATGCTCAAATAATGCTTTCATGGGC